GAACTAAAGTAATAATTTAATTGCAGATGCTCATTGCTTTACAGCGTCAATGGGAAAATTCAAAAAAGGTGAGGAAAAACCACTGAATAACACTTGTGGAGTGGCCATTTGCAGCGATACTCGTTACATTTCTCTAATGGGGTAAGTACCTGTAAGTACTGTTAATATYAGTAGTCTCAATTATTCATATCAAGTTGACATGAATATCCCCACTCACAGTCCATGGTACTCCAATTGCTCCTGGGAAACTGATAGTGAGTTCGTTCAGAAAATTTGCGTGTTCAGGTGTTTMGCATTACTCTATATATATATATATTCGAATTCAAATTTGTACCCACAAAGCTTTGAAAATTGGCTGAATTTAGATTAATTTGAAATGCGTTTGGTTCTTTTGGTACACACTTTCAAAACTTTCCATAGAATGGCCCAATATTGATGGTATGTGAAACGCACGCTTTGCACTCCATATGCCCCTAAACTTTCTGCTGCAGAGAATTGCCTACATCCTGGAAAACCGCCTCTATCATACTAGTACCCAAACTCACTAAAAACAAAACCTTCCCTCAAAACTGGAGACACATCAGCCTCCTCTCTACACTCTCAAAACTCACTGAACGACTCTTCATTATTCAGGACTAAGAACTTGTTTGTCCAATCTGAAAACTGTATCCCAAAGCCTGCATGTTTCCTGAGAAAGGTACCTAAGAAAGGCCATAATTTGATGAACAAAATAAATCAAATAACAAAAAACTTACTGCAAAGTCTTTTGTCAGGATAAATACAATCAGAACGCTTTTGCTTTTTAATGATCGGCTCAATTCTTTGAACTAACTTTTGGAACACTGGCTTGGTCATCCCTCTAAATTTAAAAAATTGAACTGCATCCATAATTTTGATATTCTCGCAATATTAAAAGTGTCCCTTTCTTGACCTTTGCCTATTGATAGGCTTGACTTTAAACCCCCTTTTTCGACGCTTTTTCTTCAATAAAAAATATAAAATAAAATAAGAAGTCAAAATGGACGCAAAACCAAGTAACCTGCGTCTCCACATTTTGATATTAAAATGAAAAAAAGTTATAATTGATGTGTAATATAAAATAATAAAGACAACAAACAACATAACCAATATATTGTGTATATTTTCCTAACTGTATTTCAAATTAATTCAAAAGAAATTCCAATCAATTTTATTGTTTACCATTTAAAATGTTACAAAAACGTTTCGGTGTTTTTCTCCACCATCATCAGTTTGTATGTATGGTTGTTTCCACCCTCACATTTGGCAAGCCATTATACCAATATATTAAATCATATGGGCATACTATTAACAAATTTCTCAATCTGGCCAATCAAATTGCAAAGTCGGCAACTGCGTATTGCATAATATTAACTGTAAACTATTAAACTGAAATTTTAAAGTGACTTAACTATTATCCACTGTCGGATGGTTGCGAAAAAATTCTTAAACTTGCTTTTGTTTGGGATTAATTATGTTTGTTTTAAGATGTGGCGTTATGGGTACTACTCCTCCATGCTATATAGCTCCAGGAAATCTCTCGAAACCATATCCACATTGCTGTGATATATTGGTCTGTCCACACTCTCCAGATGAATAGCAGATGCCTATCACCAACAGCAAATACATTAGTTAAAACATTCAAATACTTGTATATTGTATCATGTTAATTAAGTAAAAAACTTAATTATGAAATGCATATGTAATATAATAGTTACAGCAATAGAGTGTTCAAGAAATATGATGCAGTTATATAAGAATAATATATAATCATGGATAAAATTGTCGATGACTAAACAGAAAATAAGCGCATTATTTGATAAGGATTTAATTACTTACCAATTGTGCAGAAACCAATGCAATCTCAGATAATACCTTAGCCAGCAGTTCTATTGTGTTCAATGCTGAGATGAACACATGTTCTTGTCTCCGATAACGGAATGTGTTGTCTTTCCTGCTTTCTTATCTTGGGGAACAAGAAAAACTACAAATTACCGAGTCATTGTTAGCGGTGCGGACCCGAAGCTTTATTGGTATTGTTCACTGAACTGATACGATAACCAATTATACTCCCAGGAAATTTTTATTGTCTAAGAAAATCAGCTCCGGTCGTTGGTACAAATGGAAAGGTCAGTGCTGTAAACGGTACTGATTTATTAAATTTAAGACATTAACACGACGAAGACAAATTACCAAATGCTCAGAAACAGAATTATTGCTGCAGCAAATGGTCAGATTTCCATATACATACACTCATAAATGTATGGTAATTGCTTCGACGTCATTAATTCGTCAAAATTCACGACATTTTGCTTGACACTTTTCTATTGTAGGTAATGGCATGTAGCCAGCGTTCTATTAATTTACCAGATATATTATAAGCTCAACTTATGACGCTAAACGAATTACGTCGGCCTGTGGGTTTGTCTTGGCACCACAGAAGGAGACCCCCAATTTCCGAAGCATATTATGTTCCCTCTTGAGCAACTCTAGAATTTTGTTTGTTGAAGGACAGAGACCTATCAAGGGTTACGCCAAGGTATTTTGAGTTGGAATTGTCTGTTATCCTTGATCCAGAAAACTCAACCTTCAGTTGTTCAAACAGAGATGCCTTTCTGTTTGAGAGATGGAATGCACCGAATTCGGAAAGACGGCTTGGCATTTAACCTCAACTTTTTATGGTAAACATCAACTCAGATTGGCGACAGGTCGGAAAAAAGACGGACTCGACCGATTTCAGGTCTCGAAGTGGAATGCGCAGTGCTAGATTATTAGCATACATGAATATCCGTGAGTTGGTACTCAGCATGTCCCTTATTGAATAAGAGTAGGGTCAGCACAGATCCTTGGGGGATCCCGCATTGAATAGTTCTTGGGTGGCTTGGTGTTACCATTTAATTCTACCACAACTCTCCTGTTGCTCAACATGGATTCTTGTTCTTCTTATGACGCTTTCCTTTCGAAGGTTAGCAATCCACAGTCTCAACAGTTCATACTTGTTGCCTCTCGTTATGTGTCCTATGTATGTAGTTTTTCTTTCTTTAATGAGGGCCATTAGTTCTTTCGGCTGCTTCATCCGTCTAAGCTCTTCTTCATTCGTAATTCGTTGGACCCATGAGACGCGTAGCATACGGCTATATAAGTACATTTCAAACGCCTCACTTTTCTTTTCAGTTGTAGGGTCCAGGGTCCAGCATTCACATCCTTACAGCAACCAAAAATGATTGGAGTTTGGGTATTCTATAACAAATGACGACTTTCTGTAGTTTGTAGGTCATGCCCTTTCTACAAACAATGTGATATGCAGTCGACACGTCAATGAATGAGGTGCAGCTCTAGAGACCTCCTGAAATCCTATTTCTGGTAATATGGGTAGTCAGGGACCACATCTGGTAGCAGCAATTTCTATCCGTTCTAAAACCGCCTTGTTCAATCTGGACTTTATTTGCTTTTACAGATATTCTGTTAACGATTAGGCGTTTGAGTAATTTAGAGCATATAAATAATAGAGCAACAGGTCTGTAGCTAGCGGTATTATCTGGCTTAACGGCTAGGACTTTCAGTTTTCTAAGAATTTTTGGAATCTCTCCTCTGTTCAACAATTCTTTGTAGAAATCAGGAAGCCTGGTACTTGCGTTTGGGCTAATGTTTTTAGGAAATTCAGGGAAGATGTTGCCAGTGCCGGAGCCTTACGGAGTCTGAGACGAGATAAGGCACAATTAACATCCCCGAGACTCCAATGGCAAATGACCAATATGCTATCTCACCTCAGTGTCCACCCGCCGTGCAGACTCTTTGTCAATCAGGACACCACCACTCATACCCTGCAGATCTCGTTTGGGTTGATTTAGTAGGTCCGCTCCGGAGGAGGGGCCGCTGCTCGCAGCCGTCTCAGCTGTGACCATCCCAGGCCACTGGAATGTGTAAAGTCGCCGTTTTTAACTGTTTTCGTCCACCTTTCCAGTCTCTCTCTATCCACGGTTGAGTAGCATTCTATGTGATAAATCCGGCGCCCTCGACTCTCCCAATTTCTCGCAAAGGCCTTCCATTTATCACCAGGGTATGTAATCATTATCATGCGTTGCACTCACAAACCTTTTGTAGTCCACCAGAGTGGGTGGGATACTTAGGAGATTTAAGTCTGCTTCGTGGCGAAATAACTCGCATTTGGCCTTCTTGAAGTTTCTATCTTGGTTGTCGGAACGTTCTGAAGACGTGTACCTGGATTCCAACGGTTAACGTAGATGGCCTGTGACTGATTGATTGACTGTTGGAAAAGTCGTCAATTGCTTTTCGAGTTAGCGGCAGGGGCCTTCCGGATCCGTCTATTGATATAAAGCACAGATCCGGGCCCGTTCTGAGCAAAAGTTAATTTACCGACTGCGAGAAGCTGCTCAAAATGTGAGCCCATACTGCTGCCAAGAGTGCACAATTAAGTGATTGGGCCGCAAACATGTTTAGAGTTAAACGGACATAACTTCGAACACCTAACTATTTAACAACTTAATTCTATTTTATTTGTTGGTTGTGGTGTTGTGGCTCTGTTCCAATTGAGGTTTTGTTGACATCTGTGGCGGCTTCAGGTATATCACCATTTTGCCCCAAAAAGGTTGGTAGCACTGACGGCAAAGGGACGACGTCATTCTAAACTCAAAGTATTTCATTGTCACTTTTAGTTTCTTTGCTTTGTGTTTGTCATGGATACTACAATTTGTAGTAATTAAGAAGCAGCAGGTATTTACGTTTTGTTAATTAGGCAGGTTACCTTGAAAATATAGTTGCCAAACTTCTGGTCAAGTTTTTCTGCAAATATATCAGTTTTGGAGTTCCAAACATGAAAAACAGTTGTTTGTAGGTAACATAAGGCTCTAAACTTCGAATCAGAAAACATTGTGATGATTGATAGCAAACGAGTTAAGTGTTAAGGAGCTGATATAAAAATTGAATGCTTGACACTGAAATATGTCAATAACAACTGAAAATTATTTGCGAAAAAAGGTCCGCTTTCCCCTAGAGAAAATATATTCATCGTCGGTAGCTCCGGGATATCAATATTAGCTTAGCGTTTCCCAAATATTATGCATTACAGTATCCGCACTGATTCGATATTAATTTGGCAAATATTTTATGAAAACATTGACAATTTATTCGTGCTCATGGCTCGGATGCGCTCATAAATATTAATGAAATCGAACTTCCCCTTTATGTTTACTGTAAATGTGTGTTCGCACACTGTATTAAACAAATTACTAATATACGCCATAATAAATGACCGGACTATAATCTATTAACATATTATGCGTTACAATTATTTATTTAAATACAGTCGGGGAGCTAACTGGAGTCGACAGTCTGCATTTTTCAGTTAGTAAGTTCATTGTTGCTTCCAAGTATATGCCCATTTTAATAATAGTGTGTCCTATCATCGGTCTTTCTGATTTTAACCTGGTAATAAAGCATAAGGAAAATCTTTGTGTCGAAAATAATAACAGAAGACAATACACACCAAGGTGAGGGTTAAAAACACCTAAAAGTATTATCCGTTTATTCTAGAGATTTGTTATACCTGTAATGTTAAAAATATCGTCTAAAATAAACTAATTTCCTACCTATTCATCTACTATGTATCAAGTAAGTAGCAAACAGACAATACACTTAACCGGACATAAATCAGCAAAAAGTATTTTCATGAATATCGACAAAGTTTGTGATAGTGTATGGCATAAAAAAAACTACTAGAAAAACTACACAAACGTCACACAATAAAGTATCTTATAAACTGCCAGGGATCTACATACAGTCTGCAATGCAGGGCATCCCGAAATTGTTGGTCAACAATGAGATGCCGTACAGAAGACCTAAAAATAGGGCCAGAACGTATATTTTGGCTATATGCAATCCGCTTTCAAAGTGGACGGGATCCAGATCGGAAACCCTTAAATCCGAACTGATAGGCGATTTAGTGAAACTAGTAGGCCACAACAACTACTATTGAAAGTTGTTTTCTAATATACGAAATTAGGTACTTTAAGATCAAAAGCAAGTGGATGGAGACCGCGGAAGGCTCGAACTGGTGACGCGGAAGCTGAAGAAGAAGTAATAAACTTAGCAAATGAAGATCGGTGTAAACAAATTGTCATCAGTATCACATATGTCGAAGACTACTACTGTTCATAAAAATCTTTAGGGGCTTAGCGTTCCTTAAGAAGCTTCACCGATAGCGCGTCCGAACCATGTTTAGAAAATGCATGCCTGGTATAAAACTGGCAATCCAATCCGCTTAGTATGTTGCAGATCATTTTTAGAAACGCAAATAAATTTTACTGAATTCATAGTAAGTCTTATCTTCGGATGACACGGAACTCGAGATGTAATAGTTAATATTATTAGCTATACATATTAAACTAATACTCACAATATGTATATCTGGAACTATAAAAACCACAGTTGACAGTTCCTTAACAGGCCAAAAATATTTAGAATTTCTACAGAATCACCTCTTTCTTTTCTTTCTACGGAACACTTTTTCGCTGGATAAATTCGCCGTAGAACGCAGTTGAGGATTTTATGACCTGTATTTTTTTTCCTTGGAAATTGAAGTATAAAGAGAAAGAAAGAAATTAAAATCGGTATTAATTTTCAGAACTACAATGAAGAAAACGTCGCCGGGGCACTCACAGATATTCGACAAGGCAGAAAAAGTTTAAGACTGAACTAACTACCTGGTGAAAATTAACAAAATCCAAAATCCACCTTACGCGATAAGAAAATAGGAATAAAAACGAAAAAACATGGCGGACCTTACTAATTTCACAAGAGAAGCTCAATAATAGCAAGAATACGCCTCTTACAAGATACCATTTTTTTTAAATAAAGGTTCGTCCGCCTTTACTCTACACATAGAAGTTAAGGCTGTCACAGTTTACCTAAAAACAATAGGGGAAAAGAAAAGTTCTTTCGTTTTAATATGGAATTCGGCAAATGAGACACTCTAGTATAATTAATTGAAAATTTTAATTTCAAAATTATTCTTTTTACTAAGAAAAAACTGAAAAAATCGTCCGACTTCACCCCGAACGACGGTGATCCCTAAAAATGTCAACTACAGTCAAAATCTTCGCGAAAAACACCCTGTAAGTTTTGCACAAACACTAACTACTGTGTCACACTAGTATTAAATTTTTCAGCAATTCTTCCTCATTACGTAAACCAACTTTCCATAACCTTCAAAAACTTCAAGGCGACAGAAAAGAATATCCAGAGCCAAACATGATTGGCTCTCGATATCTGCAAATTGTAAAACACTTATACCACTTGTGCTTTCTACAAGAGTGTTTTCGGAGTGCAAACTTTGAACCACATGTTTCATCTGCTAATAAGTTAAGGGTTCAATTTACCGTGCTTTCAAAGGCAATAGAACTCCAAAAATATGATGAATGAAAACGTATAGTATGGTTGAGTTCCTGGGAGAGTAATTTTAACAGTTTCTTCTTATATTTGTTTGTTTAAATAGGTATTGCTTTCTTACATGGCGATAAATAATAGTTGATAAACCGCCAAACAAGATAATCACTGAACATGGCAGAATCGATCAACGTCTAATTGCTGCAAGACATCAATCGGAAGACTTTTTATTATTTTGAAGTATTTACGAGTATCGACTCTTAACGAAGACCACCCTCGCTGAATCTCTTTTCAAGTTTCCTCTCTATTACCGAGAAAAGCCACTCGTTCACATAATAGGCAATAAAGAGTTAAGAGTAAACATGAATGAAATTCTTTAACTAATAAAACATTTTTTGTCCTGCTTTTAGTCTTTTGATGCGACGCAAGCAGAGAACTTTTAAGAATATATTTATGCCTCGTATAGCGGTGATTTATGGCTTTTTGATGAAACCCAATATCCTCATAAATATAGTTAATTGGCCTTCAGGATTTCAATGATTTTAAAATAAGATAGGGTTTCTTAAGGATTTAAAATAATTTGTTCATCTCAAAATACTTGGTTACAATAAGTTGAATTGAATAGCTCCAGTAAGATATACAGAGGCGCCCACGAATACAGAAGTTGTAATAACTATTTGTTATATTGTTCGTCCTTTAATAATGGAATTTATTTTTAATTTAACAATCTCATTTTGTCCAAACCTCCAAAACATATTTATTTGCTTTTATGAAACGTGGAAAAAAGTTTACAAAAAGGTAATTTATTGAATCAAACATAGTATCTGAACTTTTTCTACTAATTAGTGGGTCATACCCACTAATATTGTATGTTGTGGGTTATACCCACACGTGGATCAACAAAATCTGGCCCGTAACTCATTTCTAAGAGGCACGTTTTTATTTTAATACAAATTTTCTTATTTGGCCACAGAGAGCGCTACCTGTCAAATCAGAAGAAAATGTTTTAGATAAAACATTCTTAGTTTTTGACGTATCTACTACTCGAATCTGCAGTAAAATGATGTGGTTAATATTTGAAATTATCAAGTTGGCCCAAGCCTACAAGATCGATGCAGGCGCTTTTTTTTCTAACACGAATAAACTTTCTCCTCTCAGAAACTAATTTCTTAATTGACACATTTTTTTGTAGGACCCCAATTTCCCAAATATTTCAGAGTTTCGAGACTTTAAAAAACCACCCGGTGTACTCCATTTCTTAACAGTTTGTCTTAATGGTGTTTCTAGCGAAAATCACGTTTTCGATGACTCTGAAGTTTCCTATAACTTTTCAATAATATAACGAAAGACCCCAGGACGTCCCCGGTTTTTGTCCCACCGACGTCACGGCTGTGCAGTTCGAAAGATATGGCGCATTTGCCAAATCTATTTTTTTCTATAACTTTTTTTAGTTTTGGTTAATTTGGGTTTGTTTTACCTACTGTTCTTTAAAGATTTAGCCTAATAACGTTAATCAGCTGTTCCTCATCCATCCTCAAAATGGAAATGTAGCATCGCAGAGGATTTTTGCCCATGCAGCATCGGTACGGTGGGTGGTGTTAGGAGTGCCAATTGAGATGGTGTTTCTTGTTATCTAATAGAAAAATATTAAACATAATGAGTGAAAAATAGTAGAAACTCTCATTTTCCCAAGATACATCAGTCGGAAACGTTAATAACTTATCGATAAGGTGAGCGATTGTTAACTTTGAACGCGATGGCTTACTAAACTAGCAATTTGTCCTCTTTGAAATAAGCAAGATTATATTAGATTAGATTTAGAGATTTTTAAAAATGTTCGTTTATCTGCAAAAGAAAATTATTTTGGGAATAAAATATTAATATATACGGACCACATAAGGCATAAGACAAGTAGAGAGAAGTATCTCCCTTAAGGTGTTTTTAAATTGTGAATTTAAAATAATAAATAAGAACAATACAAATTGAAGCTAAATTATGAGTTCCATTTTTTACATTTTTTGGATTTCGTAATATGCAGTCTACAATAACCATTTTTGTTTCACTTATCATTTCTTTAAAACATTTTCATTCATAATTTTTTTTCGGAAATCTAGGAAAAACTAGGGATTTTGTAAGTAATACCATTTGGGGATTTTAATTTTGCCGATCTGGCATCACTGGTCGTTGGTTAGCGATTTGTTAAGTAATCTGGGTACCACTTAATTAAGTAGGTAGTACCTACCATTTACTACTCACAGCTTGGCAATTTCAAATGGTTCAGAAAGAACCAATTTTTCCGGCATGTTTTTTTTCTAGTCAACAAATCATTTATAATGTAAAAAGTTGGCCGAAGAGTAATAAAACTGATTTATTAATATTTATTCAATTTTTTTTTAATTCCTGAGAATATTAACATTCTCCATTTTCAAACCTAATTGAACGTTTACTTCGTATAGCTGCGATGTCCGAGTGGTTAAGGAGTTTGACTCGAAATCAAATGGGCTCTGCCCGCACAGGTTCGAATCCTGTTCGCAGCGAATCTTTTTGTAACAATTTTTAATCCTTCGATTTCATTTAATCGCTACTTGAGCTTTCAAAAACTTTTGTAGCCGTTCAAAACTGTTGGTTATAATTTTTTTTT